AAATTTTATGAGTTATTATAGGAAATATTACAAGTCAAATGATATTAGGAAATACCCAGATTGGTGGGAGCAGAAGGTATTTGGTAGTTAAAGTCCATGTAATCGGTATAGTGGCTGATTGTACAAGTGCAGTGTCCAGAATTTCATAATCTTGATTTTGCTTATAATCTCCTGACCCTATTCACACATCCTTTACCAAAGCCTAGCTCAATGACAACACATTCCCTTTTTCTCTCAGGAAACCTCCTCAATGTTCTCTGAAGCTTAGGTCTGTGAGTCGTCCTCATTTATTACATTTGCATTGCTCCATTTCATGCAAGCTCTATCTCTTGCTCTATTTTATTCTTTCTTCTATCTTTAATGAATTAAATATGCAGGAAAATAAACCAGATGTCTGCATGTATAGGGACCAATATTTGAGAGTCTATTCTGTAATTTAGGATGAAAATTCAATCCACCCAAATACTTTAAAGTCCCTAGTTTGATTGATACACTGTTTATATTATGGTTTACATATTAAGTGCCTATAAATTTTGTATTTTGAAGATGTTATACCACTATCATGTTAATGGTAGTTCTTTTTATTATCTTGTTTTTTTTTTTTTGTGACTACTTAAACCACCAATGTAAATGTGCATGCATACACATACAGACCCATACCAAAACTATAAATTTTCCATAATTGTACATATATTTTTTGCTGTTGTCAATATTTTCATCTGTCTACCATTTTGTGCACTGGAGAATTTTCTGTATTTTTGGTTCCAAGAATCAGGCTTTCACTTGTACTTTTTTCACCTTCCATGATACAAAGAGAAGCTTGAAAGATGCTGACATATTGTATAACTGACAACTGGATGAATTGAAAAACTGAAGCCCAGCAACCAAATTAATCAAGAAGGAGAGAGTAAAAGGACAGCCTCTGTGACACAGAGACTACATTAGGGCAGCTGAGGCTGCTGCCATCGAGCTTCTGAGTGATAATGGAGCTGGTAGCTATCACGGCTAGATTGCTTTCAAAAGACAGTAGACTGGGGCAATGTGTGCTTGTGCATTTAAGGGAAGAAATGTCCACCCAAAAAGCAATGTTGCAAATTGTCTGTGGCAATGAATTAGAGCTTTATTCTCCAAACAATGAAACCTCAATGTGATTGAAAGTGAGTGAAGCATGAAAAAAGAATTCACGTACAAAATACTCCCTGAAGAAAGAATGCTGGTGTAATGACTGCTAAGAGCATATCATTTCTAAATATATCCTATCAGTTTCACTAGGAATTGAGTCCTAGTTTGTAAACATTTAATCAAATAATACATTTCAGGATAAAATTACCCCTTTTTTTTAAGATTTTATTTATTCATTTATACAAGCACTGGGTACAGTCAGAAGCACTGGAGGGTGAGAGAATTCACCAGAGCCAGAGCGGGGAACAGAACAGGCAGAAGGACTGAAGTACATGCTGAGGGGAGAAGTGGGCAGCAGGAGAGGTCTGCGCGCCATGTGGGACCCTCACCAGCCGGGGATTGAACCGGCACTGCAGAGGCTATGGGCAGCTTTGCAGCCCAGTGCTCAACTGCTGAGCCACCAGGGGAGGCCCATTTACCCCTTATTTTAGAGAGAAACTTTGACTCTGATTACTATAATAAATTCTTGTAGTCTTTGTTCCCTATGTATCACTTGTGCCCAGAGTTTTAGTAACTTTTAACATATAGTGTCATTGTGTTACTCTAAATAAATTATCTCTTGAGTATGTAAAGTTTTCTGTGGAATTTGGATTTTGTTTCATTGAGTTTAAAGTAACTTTCTTATTGCCGCTGAGAGTAAAGTTTACCTTTAGGACAATGTAGATCAAGGTAATGCCCTGTGCCTGGAATTTTACTTCTAGAAAGGGAAATCTTTGGTAGAAAAATTACAGTTATCCAGGGAATGTATTTACCTAGTTATAACTAACATAACAACAGTTTAAATCTTCCTCCAACAACTAGAAGACCAGTAGAAGTAATGTTTCTTTCTGTGTATTCTTTTTCATAACTAATTTGAAATTAGTATTTAAACATGCACATATTGAGTAGTTAATGTGATGTTTAGGGCAGATGCAAGCCAAGGAAAATGCAAAAATAAATATTCTAGATATGATTCTTGTTAACAAGTTTCTCAAAGTTTCTTGAAATGCACTTAATTTTTTTCAATAATGTGACTTAAAGTTTTAAAAGTCACATCATGATACTTTTTTGCTGAAAGTTTTTGATATTTTTTCTATACCTAGAATGAACTAAAAATCGAAAGTATGGTTCACAATATTCCAATTTACCTCGTCTCTGCTTCTGGTCTTTTCCATCATTTCCTCTTCTCTCACAGTTCAGTTCCCTTACTTGGATCAAAACTTCTTAGGACACATGCCTTCTCATGATATTCTCCTCTATTCAGATGCCCCTTCCTCATCAAGATACTCCCTAACCATAGGATTTAACAAGGTTTTCCCACTCCATAGCCTTAAGTTAGTCTCCATCCCTGTACACTATTTAACATTCCTTATAGCACTTATGACTAGCTGACATATTTATTTACATCAAGAAAAATCCCAATAGAATTAAGTTCAGGGGAAAAGACTGTTAATGTTAATAGCTATATTCACTCACATAGAGTAATCGTGAAAGTGCATGGTGAGTGTTACATGAATGGATGAAGTTCTAGAGAGACCTGAGCAATTCAGCATATGATGCTACAGTCCTCCACAAAAGGGTAGTTTCTGTTCAACCAGAAGGATACAGAAGGCTCAGGAAGTTAATCAAAATGCTTTTGTAGAGCTTTAGTACTCTTTCCCATCTTGCAAGATGGGAAGAGGAGGAACCCTCACTGCAGCCATAACTCCATCCTAGTGAGAGGAATATTCATTTCCGATCTGTTGCGTATTCCAGAAAGGCCAGTTATGGAGTAAATATTCAGCCCCTAAATTCAGGATTGAAAAAAACAAATGAGGTGGTTTTGGCTACAGTCACAAAACCAGCTGGTGGTGACAAAATGGCAGTACTCTAGGAGTTTAACTTTGCAAAATGCCTAGATACTAGCCTACTGAAGGTGGACCTTCAAAGCTGTTGAGCCACGGCAAAAACCCTGCAGTTGGCATGTGAAAAAAAGGCAAACTAGCATTGATTCTGAGATCATTTTGATCATCCTAACAAGGTATCACAGAAGCAAGAGGGTGGTCTTCTTGCAGCAGCTGAGCAGCGGTGCTACTTGTGACTGGACCTCTGTCCCTCAGTTGAGTTTCCTTCCCTAGGGCATACCAGAAATTGTAATCACCACCTCCACCAAAATTGATAGCAGTTGTGAAAATCCCAAAAACAGCTCACTGATGCTTATTTCAACAAGAAAAAGCTGTGTAAATCCTTACACTGAGGAAGGTAAAACCTCGGACACAGAGGGAGACGTAGGAGATGACAGAGCGCGCAAGGTTGCAAGATGTGGACTTGCAAATTCTGCCAAAAATCAAAGCTGTTCATCAACTCCAATGCTACTTGTGCTGTGTTTGCGCTCACCAATGGAATTTACTCTCACAAATTGGTGTTCAAAGTTTCCTACTAAGAATCTAATTAAATAATGATCATTAAAAAAAACTCCCATTTTTAAAATGTTTTACCCAGTCCCATTAAATGAATGCTTATAAAATATAATCTGTCATTTAGATGCAGGAAAATATGCAGAATTTTCCCTCAATTAAGATCTCAATACTGAAAGACCTGAGTTAACATGCTAGTTTTCCTTGAATTTATACATCAGATTCAGTCCTTAGCATTCTTTCCTTGGAAATGAATGTTCCTAAAAACTTGATTCTATAAAAGATTTTGAAAGAAGTTGAAAGTTTACATAAGTAAATCTCATATTATTTGTGCACAATTTTATAGATATTGACGAGGCTGTTTTTTCATGGAAGGATTTCTTAAGATAAAATGTGTGTATAATAGGTACACTTGTAAAATAAAAGTAGCACTTCTGGTTATCTTAAAGTGTGGCTGGGTTTCAAACTTTGCAAATGCTTTTCTTTAGTGTGCCAGAAAGCCAATTGCAAAAAAAAAAAAAAAAAAAAAAAATAGGACTAAATATACACATGTTACGCACTGTATCACTCGTTGTTTAAAAAGCTTAAGCCACATCTGTCTTATTTTAAAGACAGCACTTGCAAATACTAAGAGTGCATTGAGAATGTTTATTATCTACCAATTTTCTTCTTAGCTTGAGAGACAGTGCTCAATATGATAAATTACCTTGCTGGTAGAAAATCCATTCCAGAAAAGCCCTCTGAAGTGAATACCTGTTAAACTAGAAGATCTTCAAAATGAATACATTTTATAATGAGAAAAATAAATTGAAAGGCAAAGTACTGAAATAAAATGTCTGATGCTTGTAGAAAAATCTGAAACCTGGTAGTAAAATGTATCTTTCTTCAACCAGACCTCATTAAAAAAAAAGATATAATAATAGATATAATATGAAATGGCAAATGTGATGCTTAAGATGTTTTTACTGTATATAATTTTGTTATTTATTTCACTTGATTAAAGTACAGCATTGTAGAGTACTTTGAATTAACTTAAAAATTTGATTATGTACATGGAGTTCATGAGAGTATATGATTCATGGATGTGAAATTTCAAGTTGTATCTCTGGGCAAGGTTTAATTTGAATTCTTCCATTTCCCATTCACCCTCTGGTTTCCTCAGAGCATATATTGCTTAAGAACATGCCTCAGTAACACTTCCTTAAAAACACAGACATTCCTGGATGAAAAAAATATGCTGTACATATAACATTTAAACTAGTTGTCTTCTGTGCAAACCTCTCTCATTCCCTTCCTCTCTCACCCCTCCACCTTTACTTCCTCCATTCTTTGCTCCTCTCAGTCTGTCTCTGCTCCTGCCTCCTCATTTCCTCCCAGAGAAATTTTCTTCCTGACAAGTTACCTTTAAAGTGACTCAGTGACTGTTTTCTTATTCCTCTCAAGTCATATGCCGTGGAGTTTGTCAGAAGGAAGACGCTGCTGAACTGCTGTAATAAGAGAAGCTCTCCTAAGTTGAAGTTTGCAACATAAAAGCACTCTAGGAAGAATGAAATGGCAGCTGGGAACAGCACTTTAGGCACTGGAAGCAATATAGCAGCTGTTAGTGGACAGCATTCCTCTTATAGACGTCTATGTGATTTTCTTAGCCAGGGACACATCTGCAGGGCATTATGAATCTGCCAGAAGATTAAAAAATTCATTTACACTTATCGAAATGTCTGAGGGAACTATTTGAAATGTGAGAGTCTTTTGTAGCTTTTACGAGGAGACCTTTTCAGAAGCAAGAAAAGTCGTGTATTGGAAGGGCTAGTTTTAAATTTAAACTTAAAAAAAGTTCTTATTTTAGTTCTGGAATAGTAGAGTGAATTTTAAAAAGTGAAAAAAGTATCATTATTCTCTAAGCTAATAAAATAATTATTAGAATATTATCAGTAGATCAAACATTAGAAGTAATGTTCCAACTCATGCTATCCTTTATATTAATTTCTCTCTCATTTATCCATGTTTATATATATGAATACTTATGTACAACATATGTACACAGCATATGTATTCTAAAATATTCTAAAATAGCACCTATCTGAGACATCTGCTCAAAAGATGACTATTTAAATGATATTTACATAAGGTTTTTATATTTTTCAAAAATATATCTTTTAAAAAATTATGTATTATATTTTTAAGGTCGTATTAGTTTATAACATTGTATAACCTTTAGGCATAATTTTCATGCTTCAAAATCTGTGTGTAGTCTATACTGTGTTCACCATTAGAAGTCTAGTTCTTCCTCACCATACAATTGATTCCCTTTTTGAACTTTCAGTACAGTAAAGTAATATAGGGCAAAATTTTGTACTGTGGTACACACTGGGAAATTTGAGTTGTGAGAATCTCAGGTCCTCCAAAATTATCATAGTAATAGAAGGTCTCTTTAATTTCAGTCAGCATGCTTACCACAGTGCCTAACACAGAGTGGATGTTCATTTTTTTAATCATTAAAGATATTTATTTTGAATGTTAAAAATTTCAGGTGGCATGTGGAATCAAAGTTATAATGTGAAGAATATAATTAATTAACATTAATTATGTAGCATTTTAAAACATAACATTGAAAATAAATTCAAATGACATGACTTTTTACAACATATCAAAGAATTGATCGTGTTCTTGGGGTAATATAGATAAGCAGTCAAGAGATTATTGAGATATATATATATGATATATATATGACTAAGAATGGGCAAGCACCTCTCCCAATGAAAAGTCATGATCCTTTGCTCAGCTGTTAGATGTGAACAAATTCTCAGATTCATAAATCATGAACTGAACTGCCATGACCTCACTACTCCTCTCCAATAAGACTTTTGGTGATTCATTTGAATAACCATACCCTGGGAAAAGGAAACACTATATCTTTAGAGGATGCTTATATCCAAGATCTGAGTTGACACATATTTAGGATACAAAGTTTTGCCATAGTCCCCAGTTACATGAGATATATATGTGATGTGGTAATAAAATGAGCTCAGATACATTTCACAGTAGGCCCACTGGACACTCTGGCCCTCTTATGTTATTTCTTTGGTATCTAATGGATATACTTAACTGTTGGTATAACCCTCCAACTTCTTCCTTGATCTTTAGAATAAGAGCTAGAAGGAAAGGAGGAAGCTTTTAAAACTTATGCTCTCCTCAATGTGTAAATCAAAAAACAATGGCCAATCACTAACTGGTATGGAGATAGGGTAAACTCTGTAGAGTAGGTTCCCCATGGAATTAGACATTAGTCTCTAGGTGAGGTTGAATTTGCAATATGCCTTTTTCCCTCATTCTATCTACTTGTCTTGAGAACAATCTCCTGATAAGTCATTTGAACATTAATTGCCCACTTAGGTTCTACTTAGGAACTAAATCTACCATATTTGAAATATTAACTTCTACTCTGCCTTTCATTTTCTGTCCTCTCATCCATTTTATTTTTTACATAACTCAAAATAACTTCACATTATATTTCTAAATCATTATTTTCAAAATTTTAAAGCAACCACCCTAATCAGATTCTAAGCTATTCTGCATTTCAGATATTTTGCATTGTTCATTTCTTCATCCAGCTAGAAAAGGACTTAAACAATAGCAGAAATTAAAAAGAGTTGTCAAATAAACAATCATAGGGAGAAGTAAATGAATTTGAAAAAGCAAATTTTTATTTTGATGTATTCCTAAAAATCTTAGTTCTCAATATTACACATGCTTTTTTCTATTACTACTTTTAATGTAGATTCAAATAGAATCAAGAAAATATTTTAAATTGAGTTAAATAAGCTCATAAGAAGGAATTTAGGAGTACAAATGAATGCAAGTTTAATCTAGAGTTATACTTTGATACTTTTTTCCACAATTTCCAAATGAGTTCTTTTCATTTTATGTTGATAAACCTATGTCTTGAGTATTCTGGCCTTACCTGCTATGATTTACTTATACTTTGAAACATAGCATATTCTGAATTGCTCCCTACTGGTTAACAATCATTTTATAAATGGAACAGTATAATTTTTAACTATCCCAAGATGCCATCAATATAAAGAATTATAACTTTTTGCACATTTAAGCTCCTGAATCTCAATGTAAGGTGGTAGATATATTTTATTATACCTAGCAAGATTTAAAACCCACATAATTTTTAGAATTGAGTAGATTTTTGAAATCATAGAAGTCTTTATAGAAATATTAACTTATATAAAGATTTCCTTTTTTCACTTAAACTAATAGAATTGTTAACTACATGTTTTATAGTAGCCTTTAAATTATAATGAGATAACTTAAAAATAGAGTACATTAAACTAAGAAGCTGACATGTAATGAGAGAAGGTAGACATTTTGAGTTTATCTGAAGCTGCCATGTGCGTTATTTAGAGTCATGAGATTTAAAACCTTGAACCATTATTATTGGACTTGAGTTGATGGGAATAGGAAAGCCACAACAATGAGAAAATAGTGCTTTTAAAGATATCATCAAAAAATTAAGTGTAATAGAGTAGGCATTAAGAAAACTGATCTGTAATCCCAATTTTGCTATTTTTTTAAAGATTTATTTATTTATTTATACAAGCACTGGGTACAGTAAGAAGCACGGGAGGGTGAGAGAATTCACCGGAGCCAGAGCGGGCAGCAGAACAGGCAGACTGACGAAGCACACTGCTGAGGGGAGCAGCAGACGCGGCAGGAGAGGTCTGCTGCGCCATGTGGGACCCTTACCGGTGGCCAGGATCGAACCAGCACTGCGGAGGCTGTGGGCAGCTTTGCAGCCCAGCGCTCAACCACTGCGCCACCAGGGAGGCCCCCAATTTTTCTATTATATAGCTATGTGATTTAGGATATTAGTAATGTTATATAAAAATAATTCTATTTTATTAATATTAAGTGAATGAAAGTGTATATTTCTATGGTTCTTTTAGAGGACCTTACATTTCTCTTTAATCCCATACGTAAGCCCAACTGAGTCATAAAGTTGCGGTTGCTCTCATGGTCGTGATCATCAAATCAGTGCCTGGAAACTGTACATGCTTTACTTTTAAGTAACAGTCCATGGGTGAAATTAAGAGTTCTGGAAGAATGTTTCCTGAATGTTTGTATCCAACTGAATGTTTGTATCCAACCAAATTCATATGATAAATCCTAATGAACATTTTGATGGTATTTTGAGGAGACCTTTGGGAGCTGATTAGGTAATGGGAGTGGAGCCATCATGTCTTCATAAATAGGACTGCAGTCCATATGGAAGAAAATCCAGAGAGCCTTCTTACCCTTTCTGCCATGTGAGGTTACAGCTACAGGAGTTATTAATGAACCAGAAAGTGGACTTTCAATAGACACTGAATCTTTGACCTTGAACATTTTGGTCTCCAGAACCATGAGAAACAAATTTCTCTTGTTTATTAGCTGCTAGTCTCTGTATTTGTTATAGCCACCCAGGTACACTAATAGATGAGTTACTTCCACATTAGAAGATAATATAATTGTGGGCTGAGTTTTAGACATGACAAAATAGGAAATAAGAGTAAACTGTAGTGAAAGATGAAGCTTTGTGTTCTAACCCTTCAATTCCTGAGTGTTAGTGTTTAAATTTGGGATAATAAAACTGCCAGATAAATTTGGGTATCTGAGAGTTTAAAGGAGCCATTCTCTGGAAATTTGTCTATAAAGACTGGAAAACTATAGCCTTGCAGGCATTCCATGTGTCATTATGGCATGAGAACACCAGAAGATAGATTGTTCTCAGAGTTGGATATAGGATAATTGCACAGTCTAGTTTGCCCAAGACAGTTCTGATTTACATCTGCTTTTCAATAGCATTTGTCTCCAACAACATGTCCTAGTTTCAGATGATAAATTAGATGATTGCTCTAGTTGCAAGTGGCAAATAGGGTTTGAGCTAGCCCAACCAACTTTCCCATAGTATTAAATTGAGGTAAGAATATAGCTGCATTTTTCTGTGTTCCAGTCAATTTGAGACTCAGCAGTTGAAAGAGGCATACATATGAAGATTGTATGTAATTTGGGGCACTTAGAAGATTTTACATAGCAGTACATACAAATGAGAGCATAGTAAAAAATTGACCAAGTGACAATTTGTTAAATGACCTCTCCCTACTGCTATCATATTGACACTGTCAAATCCCTGGGTAAAAGGAGTCATAGAAGGTCCTAAACTGACTGACTATAACCTGAAATGGCTACTTCTCTGAGATTGGATAAGATTAAGTTTTTGGCAGAAACTTGAAATAAAAGTTTGAAACTAAGTTCAAACCAAGTTCAGTTATAGTTAAAAAGAGAAAAAAGACATACAGAGATTGAGAAATGTGTACTCACTCCCAAGTGTTTTTCAAACTGTTCTCTGAGGAATCCCACAGGTCCTCAGACACTAGAACCCTGGAAGGGTCACTGGGGTGAGGAATTTGAGCTCACCACCCTGCATCAATCAGTTGAATATCTTCCTACTTGTTAAAAGTGTTTTAGATGAAAAGATTTAGCTACTAAAATAATAATGTTAGACTCACCTTTGTTCCTCTGTTTTTCTCAGTTCATTTCTAACAAATCCTACTGCTTTTATTTTTGAAAGTGTTATTTCCAAGTAGTCCCACTTTTTTAATCATCATGTCTGAAGCCATAATCATTTCTCACCTGTGTTGTTG